GAGTTCAAGACCAGTCTGGGCAACACAGCAAGACCTCGCCGCCACAAAAATAAAAATAGCCAGGTGTGGTGGCGTGTGCCTGCAGTCCTAGCGACTCGAGAGGCGGAGGCAGGAGAACCACGTGAGCCCAGGAGGCTGAGGCTGAGTGGCCAATGACAGTGGCACTGCACTCGTCTGGGGGCAGAGTGAGGCTCCATCTCTGAAAACAAATAAAACAAAATCCACGTCAAAGTGAACAATCCACTGGAGTCTTGGTCGTGGGGAACCTTCGCTGCCTTGGCCCCCAGTTTTCCCAGAGGATCCATCCACGTCGGCGCTGGGGCAGCCAGTGCCATCGGTCACAGGAGTGGCTCTTTTTGGACGACTTTTCATCTCGCCACTCCACTGACGGGAGGCAACTCGCCTCTTTCCGGTTCTGAGGTGTCTGTCATGTGTGCCGGTTCTCTGACTTCTATGGCAGGCAGGTCAGAGACCAAACCTGCGAGTCTATCAGGTGCCCCCTGGGAGGGGTTGCTCCTTTGAGCCATGACGGCTGAATGAATGTTGGGCGAGCGCTTTATAAAATCAGCCTATCCCCTCTTACCCGTGCTGCCCTGCCCATCCGGTAGGGGCACCGCCTTGCCCCAGGAGCCCCACGCCAAGGGACTATCTCCACTGCGTTCCTGGGAGAAACACAAGGCCCTGTGTGTCGCCCTTAGCATTTTCCTGGGGTTCCTTTGGGAAGACAGAGAGCAGAGGATATTCCACTGGTTCTGGAGGGGCGACTGATGCCAAAGAGCTAGACAGCCTTGTGACCTTCAGATTTTCTATGCCTCACTGTCCTCATCTATTAATGAAAACCACCTTTTGGAACTGTTGGGTTGAAACACGGAAAACACTTAGAGTCCTGCCCAGTGCTTAGAAAGTGCTCAGTCGTGCTCAGATGCTGTCAGCAGCGGCCAGGCTTTCCAAAGCATCTTCCTTCAGGGTGCGGGCCACTCCTTGCCAGGGTTCCTGGATGACTCTGTACTTCCTCTGTTTGCATCCTCTGGTCTTTCGACACACCCTCCAATGCAGCGTCTCAGAACTCCACCTCAAACCCACCTCCCCCCGTGGAATCTCAGAAAGCCACGCCTGGAACCTCCCCTGATCTTCTAGACTCTGCTTCCCTAAAGTTGAGAGTAAGCATCGATCTCCAGCCAGGACACCAAACTCAACTTCCTACACACTTCCCACTGCCCAAGTACAGGAACTTTTCAACTTACAAGGGAGTTTTGTTCTGAGAGCATGTTTGTAAGTCCAATCTGTTTGAAGTCCAACAAGGTTAGCCTAGGTACCCAACTAACGCAATGGGCTATAGAGTAATTTCATGTATTTCACAGCTTATACTAACACCTAGTGGAGAGAAATAACACATTCAAAAGTGCAGGCAAACATCTCCAAAGTTCGTAACTTGAAAGTTCGTATGCAGGGGACATTGCACTCAGCACAACTCCATGCCTATGAATTCATTTTGCCCTCACAACCCAGGCAAGAAGATCTTGAGGGCTGTGATGACAAACAGAGCCCAAACCCAAGTTTGCTAGCAGTCAATGGCAGATCGGGGCAAAACCCAATCCCACATGAATGACTTGCTGACTCAAAGGGACATATACCCTCAAGAACTGAAAGCAGGGACTTGGACATTGGCATGCTGACAGTAGCCATAGGGTGGAGGCAACTGACCACTGACCAAGTGTCCCTCCATGGGCGAATACATAACAAAACATGGTGTATCCACACAATGGAAAATTATTCAACCTTAAAGGGAAGGGAAATCTGACCCGTTGCACCATGGATACAGCTCAAGAACACTGTGCTAAGTGAAATACGCCAGTCACAAGAACAACAGTCTGTCTGCACTTACATGAGGAACTCAG